GTAGGAATGTCACGTCAATGTTACCATTATTTTATCATCGAGTATAAAATATTGATTGCCACGTTAAAATTCCGGTGCCACGTCAGTTTTTCGATCGTCCATGTCAGCGTGCATTGCCGGAATCTGCTTTCGAGACAAAATTGCAACACTTAATAAATGTTTGGTATTTTCTTACAAAGTTGAAAAAGTTGAGTTTTATTTACAATTAAACAAAAGGTTGAGGTTTTTTATGCAATTAACCCTTTAGACATTGTCTACTAATTTTGAGAATTACTACATGCTACATTAATTTGGGAAATACTACAGTCCGGTTACGATACCATCTTGCACATATATTGATATTTTTGATTGATATATGCGGATATTTTTGATTGATTTGACCATTTTAGATTAATTAGCACCAAATAGTTCTATAATAGAGGTCAAATGGAAGGACATCTTATGTGCGCCTTGGCACACCTAGCAAAGTATGTCAATGCTTTTTTAAAATGAACATGTTATTTTATAAAATGAACATGTGTAAATTACACATGTTCATTTTATAAAGTAACATGTTCATTTTAAACTGTCTTGGCACACCTTGCTAGGTGTACCAGGGTGCACGATAGTAGCACTGGTCAATTTCTGGTGCTGTGTAATTTCATATGTCAATTTTTAGTGCTTCGAAATTAATACGCGCATAGATTTGGAGTCCTATTTATACTTATTAGAACTTTTAAAATTATGAAATACCTGACTAAATTAAATTTTAAATAAGTTTTTAAATAATTAAAGATATTTTTCTTAATTTTATATTTTAACTATTGATGAAATTTATAAAATGTAATATGCTAATTATCTAGTTTATTAATTTTATATGTTGCACACACGTAACATATAAAATTTTATTTATATTCGTGTAAGATAATACGAGTGAAGGCCAAGCCCAACTAATGATGAGAAGACATGTAATAATTAAGGGAAATGCTAAGAGGTTCTGTTGCTGAACCATTCTGTCGAGAGTTATAACCGTTAGATTATTGCTAAAGTTCGTGTCGAGAGTTATAACCGTTAGATTATTGCTAGAGTTCGTGTCGAGAGTTATAACCGTTAAATCATCATGTAACCATTATAGATTTATAGTTAATATAGGTTAGAAATTTCGACGGAATGATTCTACAGTCGGACCATAGCATCTTCCAATAATGGCATGATCAAATTTAATCATGGCACAAATTGACATTCCCCACTCAAGTAGGAGATTTCCCCTCTTTCAAAAGCAAAGTAAGTGCACGCTTTTGATAGTTGAGACCTCTTTACAGACAATCACAACCCAAATGTTTGACAAATTCAATGTCAAACTCATATTTGCATTTACATTTGGACCTTTAAAATTTCTAGATTATGGACTTGAGTTACATCAAGTTCTAAATTAATGTCTTCAGAACCTTAAAGAATGCAAAAAAATAAGTACAAAACCAATGTATTGTGTGCGACTATCAACACAATCAATACAATGGACATAGTTCATGATTTCATTAAGAATTTAAGATAATCAGTAAACGAAAAAATCGTCGTCAAATTATTCACGAATCACGATCAAGTAGGAAAAAAAAACGAATCTTGATTTCGACAAACTTACAAGTAATTTAATGTTTGAATATTTTTAAGGCTTACAATAAATGAATTCGACAAAAAACGAGAACTATAATCGCACGACGAACCACAGATATTCGTCATGTGTAGTTTAATGGATTTGCTTGAGTGATTAATTTGCATTCATTTTCTTCATTATATAATGTGTACTTGAAGTTTCATCTTACATAATAAACAACACTATAATGTGATGATGAGGAACAAAGAGATTGATAAGCATATGTACACAAACAAAGTAATTTTGAAGCAATTACAATAATATTGTAAAGTTCACTTGCTCAATTACAGAGAATCTATATCTGTCGCGGCTTGCCGCTTTCCATTCATCCCACATCCGAAGCTGCACCTATGTTCAGTCGTCAATTTTCGGATTTTGAAAATCGTAGAACACCCGATTCTCGAAGCTTTTAATTCCCACGGGCAATTTCTGTCGACGCACTGTATGTAATATATATTGCCGCCGACAAGACTTTACGACCATATATCGAAAACCATGCTTTACAGCATACAAGCTTAAGAACTTCTTCAACTCATCTTTGTCGGTATACATCTGTCCGACTTCAAGCAATCCTTCAAGACTCGATGAATTGTTCATCCTGAATCGTCTCGTTTCTCTTTGCTCTATCATCTCAAAGGTCTCGGATGCTATTTCCACAAGGCTTTCCGAACATTTTTTCGCTCTTTCTACTAATGAATCGGTCTGTCTTTTTCCACTCATCAAAAAATCATCGAACACCGTAGTTAATGGTTGTACCTGAAATGGTTGTGCCACCTTTCCTTCTACGGTTGCGCACAATGGGAATCGAGTGTAATCCGATTCCTTCTTCTTCAACTCCTTGTAAAACCGAAGGCTCGTTTCGTTTTTTATGCGTATCGGTTTGTATCCATCTTTTACTTGATAACATATTCTCAAATTTGAATGTGATGGATACATTAATCTTGCTGCTTTCTTTATAGTTTGAAGTAAGTCTTCGAAATTTTCGTTTTCTTTATGAATGATACCGCAAACTTCGTACCCTTCGTACTCGACTTCAGTGATCCATTGCCCGTTGTAATGCACGAAAATTAATTCGGCGTTCATCATTCCTGGAAAACACAAGTAAAAAACAACATACAAAATCAAAAGTTAAAACTTCCATACAAAAAAAAAAAAAAATTACTCAAAATATATAGTTCTATAACTTCTATTGTTTTTAAAAATTTTCTTACCTTTCTTATCTTCTCTTTTGTTGTTCATTCAGTTTTCTTCTCCACCACTTTTCACGTTTTTTATTTTTTTTTTGAACTGATCTTTCGTGTCCCTTTGTAATGGTTCCTCCTTTTGTTTGATTTATTTATTTTTTTCTTAATGTTTTTACAAGTGTTGGCAGTTATCAAAGAATTTCAATTTGAAATCACTACATGCATCATGCATGT